GAAAATATGTTTTTGGGGTGCTCGAACTCCAGCAGAGAAACTCTTTCAATGCGGACAGTAACAACTAGACTACCAACCATATTCGAAATATTTGTATAAATTATAAGTAATTGCTTGCCGTATACTGAGGAGCTTTTGGACCTCAATCTCTTTTCCCGTGACTCACTTCTGAAAATCTCAAAATTTCTATCTTTCCACAGTCACAACAATTAATTATTACTATGGATTGCAAATCCAGAGCTCAGACAACTATCTTTGATAAAACTTCAGTCATGAAAAATAAAAAAGGACCAAACTTTTGATAATAACAGAATAAAACATGAATACAGATAAATCAAATGATTCATCCAACGAAAAAAAAATCATCCAATGAAAAAAAAAAGCTCAAAAGTGAATAGAATAATACTAAACGTTTACAACATTATGTACGCGCATAGACGAAAATTCAAAAGTTTGGCAGCCAAAATCTCAACTTGAACACTCTAAATGATTGAAACTAAAGGTAAAAAAAAGTTCAACATCTACAAAAATGACTAGAGTTCAACATCCACAAAGAAAAAAAAATATTTTGTTTGATTGATACAAAACGACGTCGTTTTCCATATAGACGATGACTTATCAATATTTAATAGTTGACTAACACACAGTTAGTCAATGTAGGTTTTTGCATCAATTTATAAAGTTTGGGTATGAAATTGTTATATTTGTATAGTTGGGGTATAAAAACACACTTATTAATTGTTTTGGCATGAAAAGGTACGATCAAAATAGTTGGAGTTGTTGAAATAGGTCCTTTTCCAGGGCTTAATAAGAAATATTCTATTGTACGTAGTGAAATTCTCATGAGAGAGCCTCTTCCAAACCTTGCTGAAGTGTGCAACATCTTGGATCAAGATGATAGTCAGCGTCAGTTCAGCTCGGTTGTTTCTCCTACTGCTTTTCAGGTTAGCCGTGACACATCTCAGTCTCCTACACTGCCTGTGTCCTCTACTGCTGCTCAGCCTGGACCTGTCACTGGTGATTCAAATGCTTCCTCACAAGTGGCATTGAACGCTTTTCAACGCAAACCTGGACCAGTTTGTTCGCATTGTGGTAATACTGGTCATGTTGTTGATCGCTGCTACAAGTTACATGGTTATACCATTGGTTGGAAGAAAGGAAAACCGAACAATGATAAGCCTCCACAGTCAAAACCTGCTTCTGTTGCGGCTACTGTTGCTGTTCAAAACACACCTACTACTGTTTCAGGTCTTGATAATCTTGTTGGAAAGTTGAACAAGGATAAAATTCAGAACTTTATCGCCTACTTCAGTTCTCAACTTCAACTTCAACCTGATCGTGGTGCTTCTTCTGTGTCTCAGCCTAATGACCAATCTGGTATATCTTTCTCTTCCTCCACATTCAGTTTCATTGGCATAATGAGTGCCAAATGTGTCACTGATAAGCACACATGGATAGTAGACTCTGGTGCCACTCACCATGTCTCTCACCGTGATGCTTTTCAGACTATTGATACTTCTGTTGAACATTTTGTGAATCTCCCCAATGGTTCCACACTTAAAGTTGGTGGTATTGGTCAGATCAGTGTCACTGATGCATTAACTCTGCAGAATGTTCTGTTTATTCCCGAATTCAGAATTAATCTTCTGAGTGTCAGCTCTTTAACTTCTGATATTGGAGCTCAAGTGATCTTTGAGTCTGGTTCTTTTACTATATAGGATCCTATCAGGGGATCGATGATTGGAAGCGGTAAACGGATTGCAAATTTGTACGTCCTGGATGTTGCTGATGAGAGTCCTGCAGCTCCTGCTTCTTCTTCTTGTTTTGCTAATAATGTTGTTGATGCTTCTGTTTGGCACCAACGTTTTGGACACAGTTCTTTTGAGCGTATAAACCTTCTTTCTGATGTACTTGGTATTTCAAAGACAAAGAATAAAGGATTGATGCATTGTGATGTTTGTCATCGTGCTAAACAAAAGAAATTGTCTTATCATTTACATCCTAAGTTGTGCTCTAAACCATTTGAACTTCTTCATATTAATGTTTGGGGACCGTCTTCTGAATCAACACAGGAGGGATACAAGTATTTTCTAACAATTGTTGATGATCACACTCGAGTAACTTGGGTCTATCTACTCAAACTGAAGAGTGATGTTCTCACCATCTTCCCAGACTTCATTAGAATGGTTGAGACATAGTTTGCTGCTCATGTCAAGTCTGTTCGTGCTGATAATGCCCCTGAGTTACGGTTTGATGCTCTTTATAAGTCAAAAGTCATCATCTCATACCATTCCTATCCAGAAACCCCGGAGCAAAACTCTGTCATGGAACGCAAGCATCAACATCTTCTCAATGTGGCAAGGGCACTCCTCTTTCAATCTGGTTTTCCTCTTAGCCACTGGGGTGATTGCATTCTCACGGCTGTGTTCTTAATAAATAGAACACCTTCTCCTGTGATTGGCAACAAAACTCCCTTTGAAGCACTTACAAATAACCCTCCAGATTACTCTCATTTCAAGACCTTTGGTTGTCTTTGTTACGCGAGTACTTCTCCTAAAGGTCGCCACAAATTTCAGGATAGAGCAAGAACATGCGTCTTGCTTGGCTATCCCTCTGGATATAAAGGCTACAAAGTTCTTGACATTCAGAGTAATGAGATAGTTATTTATCGGAATGTGGTCTTCCATGAGAATCTTTTCCCATTTCTTCAGTCTACAATTACTGTAGGACAAGATGGTTTCTTCCCTCAGCTGTATTCTGATCCAGATACTCATGATGATCCACCTTCTTCCTCTGGTTCTCAATCAGATCATCCTCTTGAGGTCTCTACACGCAGGGTCTCTAAGCCTCCTCGTCATCTACAAGACTATGAGTGTAATTCTGTCAAAACCTGTACAGAACATCCTATCTCAAACTTCTTATCCTATGATGCCTTGTCTGATCCCTATAAGATATTCATCAATGCGGTTAATAGCATCCCTGAACCTCGAAATTTTGCTCAAGCTTGTCTATTAAAAGAATGGTGTGATGCAATGGGAGTAGAAATTACTGCTCTAGAGGAGAATGATACTTGGTTAGTATGTTCTCTACCTGAAGGGAAACAAGCGATTGGTTGCAAATGGGTTTTCAAGGTTAAGTTGAATGCCGATGGAACATTGGAAAGGTACAAAGAGAGACTTGTAGCTAAGGGTTACACACAACAAGAAGGCATATACTATGTTGAAACCATCTCCCCTGTAGCTAAGCTCTCCACTGTTAAGCTAGTCCTTGCTGTTGCAGCTGCAAAGAACTGGTCTCTCTCTCAACTTGACATTTCCAATGCTTTCCTTAATGGTGATTTGGATGAGGAAATATACATGTCTCTACCACCAGGATACTTACCTAGACAGGGGGAATCTTTCCCTACTAATGTTGTCTGTAAGCTGAAGAAGTCGCTTTATGGACTCAAACAAGCTTCTCGTCAACAGTTTTTTGAAATTCTCTGAGACATTGTTGAAGTTGGGATTCGTTGTTTCTTCAGGTGATCATACTCTTTTCCTAAAACACTCTGGAACAACATACATGGCAGTCTTGGTGTACGTTGATGATATAATTATTGCCAGTAGTTGTGATAAAGCTACAAAGACTTTAAAGGAGGCACTTCAAGCTTCTTTCAAGCTCTGAGACTTGGGAACTCTTCATTACTTCCTTGGTTTTGAAATTGCTAGGTCCTCTATAGGCATTTCCATTTGCCAACGTAAGTATGTGCTTGATCTGTTGACTGACACTGGTCTTCTTGGTTGTAAGCCAGCCTCCATCCAAATGTATCCCAGTGTTAAGTTATTAACAGAAGATGGTGAGCTCTTACTTCTCTATCTGACCTTCACAATGCCAGATATTACTTTTGCTGTACACAAATTGTGTCAGTTCACTTCTTCTCCTCGAGCTCCACATCTTCATGCAGCTTATACGGTCTTGCATTATCTCAAAGGCACTATTGGTTTGGGACTTTTCTACTCGTTTTGCTCAGACTTGAAGCTTTATGCTTTTACTGATGCTGATTGGGGCTCATGTCCTGATACACGCAGAAGTGTGTCTGGTTTATGTGTATTCGTTGGATCTTCTCTCATCACATGGAAGTCAAACAAACAAGACACTGTCTCGTATGCTTCTGCTGAGTCGGAGAGTATCGAGAAATGTCTGAGGTTGTCAAAGAAATGCTTTGGTTCCGTAATATGATGAAGGATCTTTGGATTGAAGTTAAGGAAGCTGCACCCTTGTATTGTGACAACACTGCTGCGATACATATTGCTAACAATGTTGTGTTTCACGAGAGGACAAAACATATGGAGCGTGATTGTCATCTTGTCAGAGAATGGGTCAAGAAAGGTTTGGTCAAAACTCTCCATGTTCAAACTGCAAATCAACTTGCTGATTTCCTCACCAAACCTCTCTATTTGTCACACTTCCGACATCTTATGGAGTTCATTAACATATATGCTCCATCTTGAGGGAGAATATTGGGTTATTGTTGGTACAGTGTACAAGGTTTACTTGTATATTTCATTTACCTATTGAACCGGTTTGTTCTAGATAAACCTACTAAATGTATATATTGTATGTCGGGTCACACTTTAGGAAATAACAGAAAATATTCCTTTTACTCTCTTTTTTTGTCATCTTGTTCTTACTACAACCTCCATAGCCTCCATGAATGACGTTAGAGCACCCACAATGAGAAGTCATTAAGGGGAATCCTAAAGGAAAAAAGAAAAAGGGTATTTCGGATTATAAAAAGATATTTCAGATTTTTTCTTTAAAAAAAAAAATTGACCATTCGCAGGTCGCCACGTGGACAGTGGAGCTCGCAAATAGTGTAAGGATCAATTATAAAATTAATATTTCCATTGTGGATGCTGTTAGAAGAGCTTTCCTTTCTGTTCATCTCTTTTACTAATATGCTCTAATAATAAGAAAGCAAGAGAAGAGAAGTTGTGAGTTGTAACACTTCCGTGTCCCTGATGCTGAGAATCTCGAATCTTTCGACATCTTCTCGATACGTGCCAATTACAAAATTATGGCTTCAACTACGTCATCTCTGCTCACCATCATCATCACCATCTTCTTCTTCACTCTCTGTACCTAGCGAAGACCATATCGTCCGTCTCATCCTAGACCAAAAATCACCTTCAGGAGCTCTGCAAACTTTCCAATGGGCTTCCACTTTCCCTGGATTCATCCACTCTCGCTCCACCTACCGTGCTCTCTTCCACAAGCTCTGTTCTTTCCGCCGATTCGAAACTGTCTACCAACTGCTCGACGAAATGCCTAAATCTATCGGCTCCCCTCCTGACGACACTATCTTCATAACTATCATCCGAGGATTAGGACGTGCTAAACTAATCAAACGTGTGATCAATGTCCTCGATCTTGTTTCCAACTTCGGGATGAAACCATCTGTAAAAGTTTTCAATTCGATTCTTGATGTTTTGGTGAAAGAAGATATTGACATAGCTAGAGAGTTTTTCACAAGGAAGATGATGGCTAGTGGGATCCAAGGTGATGAGTACACTTATGGAATTTTAATGAAAGGTCTTTGCTTGACCAATAGGATTGGTGATGGTTTCAAGCTTCTTCAGATCATGAAGAAGACGCGCGGTGTGGCTCCAAACACTGTGATATATAACACCTTGCTTCACGCTCTTTGCAAGAACGGGAAAGTTGGGAGAGCTAGGAGTTTGATGAGTGAGATGAAGGAACCGAATGATGTGACTTTCAACATCTTGATATCTGCCTACTGCAACGAACAGAAGCTGGTTCAGTCAATGGTGCTTCTGGAGAGATGCTTCAGTTTGGGTTTTGTTCCTGATGTTGTGACGGTCACTAAGGTGATGGAAGTTCTATGCAGTGAAGGCCGTGTATCCGAGGCGCTTGAGGTGTTAGAGAGAGTGGAAGGAAAGGGAAGTAAAGTCGATGTTGTAGCTTGTAACACTTTGGTTAAGGGGTACTGTGCGCTAGAAAAAGTAAGAGTTGCTCAACGCTTCTTTAAGGAGATGGAGAGAAAGGGTTACTTGCCTAATGTGGAAACATACAATTTGTTGATTGGTGGGTTATGTGAAGTTGGAATGTTGGATTCAGCTCTTGACACTTTCAACGATATGAAAACAGATGCGGTTAGAAGGAACTATGCTACATTCAACACGTTGGTGAAGGGACTATCAGTAGGAGGGAAGGTTAACGATGGTTTAAAGGTATTGGAACTGATGGAGGAAAGTGAAAACGTTCGTGGGGCCAGAGTTGATCCGTACAATAGTATAATCTATGGCTTTTACAAAGAAAACCGTTGGGAGGAAGCTCTAGAGTTCTTGCTAAAGATGGAGAATTTGTTTCCAAGGGTTGTTGACAGAAGCTTCAAGTTGATAAGTTTATGCGAGAAAGGCAGTGTGGATGATGTAAAGATGGCGTATCATCAAATGATCGGAGAAGGAGGAGTTCCTAATGTTATAGTATTCCACTGCTTGGTTCATAGATATAGCCAAGAAGGCTGCATGGAAGATACACTTGAGATTATAAACGACATGGTGACAAGAGGCTACTTGCCTCAATCATCAACATTCAATGCGGTCATTCTCGGGTTCTGTACGCAAGATAGAGTCATGAATGGCCTGAAGTTTGTGGAAGACATGGCTGAAAGAGGTTGTGTACCTGATGGAGAAAGCTACAATCCGTTGCTCGGAGAACTGTGCATGAAGGGTGAGTTTCAGAAAGCTTGGTTGACTTTCTCACGAATGGTGGAGAAGAATATTGTCCCTGATTCTTCTATATGGAGTTTGCTGATTTATTGTCTCAGCCAGGAAACAGCGTTCCACATAGACATAGACACTTTATTGCAGGAGATAATCAAAACTTAAACTTTATCGAAGTTGAGGTCTTGATAGTGGTGCATCTGCAGCTATTACAGAGAAGGGACTCAAGCAGAGAGACAGTGGTTCTGTTTGGTTTGAAAATCTGTAAAAAACATTACGTCAGCATGAGAGAAGGGCAAAATGGGGAATTGGGCAACGTTAAAACGGGAAAATGTCTGAAGCCACACCTATCCATAAAAAAGGAGAGAGGAGCAAAAGGTGGAGCGAGTCTTACGTTTCGAAGCCACAACGCAAATCTAAGTGCTATTCCTCTCTCTCTCTCTCTTTTATTCAAAGAGATCCAAACTTTGACAATTAAAGTCCACAAAACTCGGATTATTCAGACAGGGAAAGAGAAGGTATGTCGTGTTCATCCTCGTCTGGATCAGATGAAGACGATGAGGGCTTCGATGCCTACCGTAAAGGTGGATATCACGCCGTTAGAATCGGAGACCAGTTTTCCGGTGGCCGTTACATCGCTCAGAGAAAGCTTGGTTGGGGCCAATTCTCCACCGTTTGGCTTGCCTATGATACTCACACTTCTGTACGCATTTCTCTCCCTTCATCTTCTATGCTAAGATGATCTTAAATGCATTAGTCTAACTCGTATTCCTTGCATCTGGGTTCTGATCTGTTTTGGTGCAAGATCTTGGCTTCTTCCAACATCTTCTTGTGGATTAATCTTTCAGAAAAGAAAAGCTATTTTTTTTTAATTTGTGGCTATGGTTATAGATTCTGACATTGTGCTCTGTAGTTGACCAACCGTGGCAGTTTGTCTAAGGAAGAAACTACCTCTAGCTGCGCATTGGATATAAATGCGTTTTAAATGGCCTTCTTTTTTAAGTGCCATAGTGACTCTGTGAATGTTTACTTTCTTTGCCTCTCTGAAACAGAGGAGCACTTTGATTCTCTTATATTCTTTAATTGTGAGAAAATAATTGTGATGTTTGGCTCAGAGTGTAGGAACGTACATGTCCGTGATTTAAGAATCCCTAGTTTTTTGTTAAAATTACAATTAAATTCTACAAGTTCCTTGACGTAGGAACTTGTAGTTATTGTTTCTCCTTTTCTACTCACATTTGACTTTTGTAATAACTGTGTGTGTGTGTCTATTCAGAGTTATGTTGCTTTGAAGATTCAGAAGAGCGCCCAACATTTTTCTCAAGCTGCACTTCACGAGATCGAACTTCTTCAAGCTGCCGCTGATGGGGATCCTTCAAATACCAAATGTGTTGTTCGTCTTATCGATGATTTCAAGCACGCAGGTCCCAACGGGCAGCATTTATGCATGGTGCTGGAGTTTCTTGGTGATAGCTTGCTCCGTTTGATCAGATACAACCGTTATAAAGGGATAGAGTTGAATAAAGTGCGCGAGATATGCAAATGTATACTGACCGGTCTAGATTATTTGCATCGTGAGCTCGGTATGATTCACTCCGACTTAAAACCTGAAAATATTCTTCTCTGTTCCACCATTGACGCTGCAAAGGATCCCATCAGATCCGGACTGACACCCATACTAGAAAAACCAGAGGGAAACCAAAATGGTGCAGCAACCATGAATCTGATTGAGAAGAAGTTGAAGAGGAGGGCAAGAAGAGCGGTTGCTAAAATATCAGGAAGAAGAGTCTCCATAGTGGGTTTAAGTGAAACGCCTACAAAGACTGTGAGAAGTTTAGATGGGATTGATATGAGATGCAAAGTTGTGGACTTTGGGAACGCGTGTTGGGCTGATAACAAGTTTGCGGAAGAAATACAGACAAGACAGTACAGAGCTCCTGAGGTAATACTTCAGTCAGGCTACTCTTTCTCTGTTGATATGTGGTCTTTCGCTTGTACCGCTTTCGAGCTTGCCACAGGTGATATGCTTTTTGCTCCAAAAGATGGAAATGGGTATGGAGAAGACGAGGTAAATATGGTTTTGTCTAAAAGTCCCAAAGAGTGTTCTTTTTTAATATATGCATTCTTCTTCTCTGGTTTGACATTAGGACCACCTTGCTCTTATGATGGAAGTATTAGGAAAAATACCTCGGAAGGTACCTGAAAAAACACACTTTAGTTTAGTCTCTTTATAGCTTGGTTATAGTCTCTTTGATACTTTTGATTTGATTAGATTGCTATTGGAGGTGCGAGATCAAAGGATTACTTTGACAGACATGGCGACCTAAAGAGGATTCGGAGGTTGAAATATTGGCCACTAGATCGTTTACTGACAGATAAGTACAAGCTTCCTGAAGCCGAAGCACGGGAATTTGCGGATTTTCTTTGTCCGATTCTTGCTTTTGAGCCAGAGAAACGACCTACTGCTCAACAATGCCTGCAGCATCCTTGGCTGAATCTCAGGACACAGAACAATGAAGATCATGTTGAAGGTCAGATGAGTAACTTGCAGATCAAAGGTTGAAGAACTTTAACTTTTCAATTATTGACTTTTTTGCCTTATAAATGATACAGAAACTTCTCTTCTTCTTTTTTTTTTTTTCATTCTTTGGTTGGCTTCAATTTGAATACTTTTGATTCTCTATTTATTTCTTCATTGTTCTTTACTAATTGCTAGACAATGGCCCGCACCTTGTTCAAACTAATATATCCCAATCAATTCTAATTTTAGAATTTTTATTTAACTAAATTATTTAATTAGTTTCAAATATTAAATTAAATGAAAGATATATTTTAACCTTTTTATTACAACACGTATTAGATGATGCCTTGGACTTGCAAAATATTTTATTTATTATGTCACTAAACCACATATGTAAAATGAATCATCAAAATAACCTAATAAAGTTTTAATAATACTTTTAAATAACATATAAGATAAATTCACAAATAAAACCATAATGACCAATTATCAGTGAAGTCTATGAAAGCAAACCTATTCATTAAATAATAATATAAATATTTTGATGTAAATGATAATAGTATAGATTATTGAACATTTTTTGGATGCTTCTACGAATATTAGTTAATTGCATTTTATATGAATTTCCTCTTCATCGGAGTTTATATTGATATCTATTAACAAAATCTAGAATAATCAAAAAATATACTCCATATAGTAAAAGTTAAGATGATATATAAATTATATAGTTCTAGTAAACGTTGGACTTTTTAAATTATAACTGCAAGAGATTTTATTCTTTATATTCATAGCTTTTGGTTGGTAAACTGATGTGAATGAAACCCATAAACTCTAGTGTTACATAAAAGAGAAGAAAATTTTCTTTTAAAACTAATAAATAAAGATAAATATTATACGATTTAATGTTACTATAATAAATATAAAATGAAATAACTATAAAATTATGGATAAATTTGGAAAAATGCCATCTAACAATATAATATTTTGAAAACTACACGATATTACAAGTGAAGTGACTAAAGTAACCTAATTAAGAGTATATTCAACAGAAATAGACAAATAAACAATAAGTATTTATTTGTTTTGTTTAAAGTTACAAAACAAGAAATAATGGAATTTGATGGTTTTTGTTTAAAATTTCTGGAGTTTCATTCTTTTTATCAATTTAGCTTTTTGTATATGAGGAGAAAGATACAATCGTGCCATAATTATGGAGTTTTATGTTTTTTTTATGTTATAAACTTTAGACTCTTAAATACATTTTATAACCATCACTGTTTTCTTATTTCATCCAAAGTAAGTGTTTGTCTTAGGGCTGTTCAATATGGTAATACCGAAGCATACCGAACCGAAATAGATAATATGGTTTGGATTTGGTATATACCATATAAACCGAATGGATATGATTTTATAAAAACCGTAGGATTTGGATATGGTTAGGTTTATAACAGATTAAACCGAATAAACCGAACAAAACCGATCAAAGAAAAAATATATAAATATATACATTATATAACCATTTATTTTCTTGGAATAGTTTTTTTTTAGTTTTTTATTCCTTGTGGAGATATATCTTAATAATTTTATTTTATTTTCTTAACTATTATCTAAATTTGATTTGATTTTGCATGGTGTATGAAATTGTGAAATTAGATTATACCATGTAATTTATTTGGAAGAACAAAGAGAAAATAAGAAAGCTGTACAAAAATGAATCGTTGGTCATTTTGTTTGTTGATAATTTCACATTTTTATATTTATGAACACCTAGGATTATTTTAATAAATGATAGTTTTGACAATATATTTTTTTTTAAATTCATATAATATGAAACCAAATCAAATAATAATGTTATTTGGTATAAATCCGTATAAACCGAAAACCGGTAGTATAAAATACCGAACCAAACCAAATTAAATATGGTTCCAATATGTAGCTAATTTTT